AGCATTCTAAGGTCGTATATTACAGGCTGCCAAAATAGCTTTATTACATAACGCAAAATAGGGAAGCTATGAGAGGATGTATACTGCGGGGGAAAGACAGGGGGATATCTGGAAGAACATTCCAGCCGTTTTATGACAGCCCTCTTTCCACTCACTGTATGTAGAACGATCACCTTTAAAGGACCAGTGTGTAGGATTCAGTGGCATCTAGCTAGTGCAGTCTGCAACTGAATACCGACCGCTTTCCAAATGTGAAACATGGCGGACTCTGTAAAAGAGGACCTATAGCAAGAGTTAGGCTCCTTCATGTCGGCCACACTGTCAAGATTTTAACAGCCAATTATAAAAAAACTGTATGAAAAGTGATCATTGCCAGGCTCAAATATACAGTGTACCAACCAAAAACCCGTTGGATCCTATAAAATATTAAAAACAAGTCACCCATATATTGTTTTATTTTTAAAAAAGGCTCAGAAATGTCCTAAAACAGCTGGTCACTGTAGTTTTTTATCAAATTTACTTAAACAGAAAAACATTTTTCAGCTGCGTATTAATTCACAATTGGTGCTCTAGTGAGCTTTTGATGGGATTTGTTGACTATAAGTAAAAGAAAAGTAACATTAATCATATCCTCTAAAATGTGTATCTGTGTGTGAGTGTCTAAACGTGGACATGTTGGCAGAGTGGAGGGAAACTAATCTGTCAGGTGGACAGTGACATCACACAATCTGCAGTTTCCGTAACGCAGATAAACGTGACTCCACACCATGCTCCACACACACACACACACACACACACACACACACACACACACACACACACACACACACACACATCATAACCCACCTAAACACACAGGCACACACAGACACACACACATACACATTTACACAACATGCAGGGTTCTTTGAAACTTAAATGTGACACTATTATCTATAACCTACAACACGCTAATAATGTATCACCTACACACTGTCTCACTTTTACACACACACACACACACACACACACACACACACACACACCACACAGCCTCTGCTCCTCCTGCCCTGTCTGCCAGCTGTGAAGCATACGTGCAGACTCACACATAGTCTCCTCAAAGGCCACAGCCTCTTTCTCACACTAGTTATTAACACAAGACCTAGATGACTGGATTCTCTGCTATGATTTTATGCTGACATGTAAAATACCAATGCCTAATGTAAAATTCATTCACTTTTTTATTAATGCACATGTTCAGCATGTTCAACTTTCTTTCTTCCATCAGTTTTTTCCCATTTCTCTCCTTTCTTTTAAGTTTCTCTCTCTGTTCTTAACTGCAAACCAGCAGCACTCATTGCAAAAAGGTGCAGGGGCAGTCACACTCTCCTCTCTATTCAGGGTCTATACAATACATCGTGATATCACTGTGGTTGAAGGTGCAGCAGAGCACACTGACCACACCCATCAGTGATGCTGGGCGCGGCCCCATGATTAAGTCAAGTTAAGTGCTTGCACTGCCAGCTCATCCAAACAACATATAGTAATTTGTACTGATGGTCTCAGATTATAATAATTAATTACATAGAGGGAGTAGTTTGTTAATCCAAAAGGGAAAGTGGAGTCTTACAGCACATAAGAATCACAAAACAAGCAACATAGTAAGGGCATTCAAATAAGAAGTAACATGATAAAATCATAAATAACTAAAATCTTAACCAGAAACTGAAGTAATACTAAAAACTAGGATCGTACTCTAAATTCCTGGTAATATGCTATGGTTAGTGCAAGTGTAGTAGATAGTATAAAAGGTCTTGTATTGCTTCATTAGAATTGCATAGATGAATAGGTACTATATATACAGGTAATACACAGGTATAACTAAGGGGGTGCCACAAGGCTCTGTGCTTGGTCCTTTTACCATATCTACTGCATTGTAGTGAATGTTGTTTCCTCAAAGTAACAGAATGAGTCAGGGAATTTCTCACTCTCTAAGTTCCCTGAATTTCGCAAGACCAGAATTACTGTATGTGGAGTTGTAGTTTACCATTGTAAAGTTCAGGTGTTAATGGCAGGTTAAAGGGGCAGTTCAATAAATGCCACTAGAAGTTAAGAGATATAACCTCATATATAATTTTAAAAATGTGTCAGACTAAGAACAGGAAAACCATTGTGCAATCGGCCATTATCATGTCTGTGCTTGACTCATTTTTTATTTACAAAGCCATCCTTAATAAGTTACCACTTTTATTTATCATCACTTTTAAGATTTAGAAATGCAGAACACCATACTCATTCACAGGGATACGTCACCTTGGATTCCCATTAATGCACACAGTATTGGGAATTTTTTTTTCCACTTTAATGCTCCCCTATAGTCTTCTGGATTATGTTTTATATGAAGAATCCTCCTTTTTTTAAATTTGTCTTGTGTTTGTGTTCTATTTATTTTGTACAAGAACGTTGATTTTACTTTTTTTATGACTGGTCTTGATTATGTATTTGCAGGGTCTATTGTGAACCGGAGCTTTATTCTGAGTTGTTTTTTCCATGAATACATAAAGGGTTTTTTTTTCTCTATGGTGATATCATATACTCTAATGCTGTTTATTCCACACATAAAACAACTTGATACAGTTTGCCATTGTACCCTGCATTTCATTATAAGGGATACATATTGCACTCATCACTGAACTTGAGAAGACTGCCTTTTCAGTACTTTGCACCATATCAATGGAATGAATTACAAAGAACTTGAAAACTAGAACGTCTCATCCCACTGGATGACTTTAAACTGCTAATATTGGACCTTTTTAGAGATGTCAGTGTTTGTTTCTGATGCTGCTTGGGTTAGGTTTAGGGTTAGGGTCTCTGCTGTACTCAGGTTTTTCTTGCAAGTGATCCACATCTCATTAAGATTACACTGTAAAACCAGATAAGTTAATTTAACAAAAGAATGGTTGAAACTGATTACATAAGAATATTATAACTTAATTGTAAAGTAAGAAAACATCCTTAATGATGTAGCTTTGGTGATTTTAAGTGACACTGACTTAATTTTGTAATTTTTATTTGTAATGTAAAAAACAACCTAGTTAAAAGTACTTAACCAAGAATGTCTTTTAACTTACACAACTGACTTTTTTATGATTTTATGTAATCCGTTTCAATCAAATTAAATAAACATTTTGTTAAAATTACTTATCGCATTACATTGTACCTGATTATAGACACTATATGTGACACAGTTTACTCAATACAATGATTTCATAAAAAATGGCATATTACCAAAAACAGATGATTTTAAGTGACACTGACTTAATTTTGTAATTTTTATCTGTACTGTGAAAACAAAATACGTAGTAAAAAGTAGTTATTCAAGAATGTTTTTTTAACTTAAAAAACTGACTTTGTGTTACTTAATTTTTTTTATGTAATCCGTTTCAACAATTCTTTTCAGTTATAATAATTAATTGCATTACAGAGTACCTGATTAAATCAATTACTGTTACTGAATCTAAATGTAAAAATAACTTTGAAGATAGCATATTTTTTATTTCACTCATGGTGGTTCCAGATCCCATAAAAACACCATAATTCATGGATCCATCATTTTCTGTATTACAAGGTGGTGGTGTAACAATGTGGGACACACAGTGTACTAAAGTTTGCCTTGACCAGAGCACAAGTAGGAAAGCAAGTTTGTAAAGCCTGAAATGTCAGGAGCTGGTGAAGTAATCATGGAGTCAATGGTATTGGTCAGTTCTATCAGCAGATTTAGTGCAGCCATTTTGTGTAAAAAATGTCAATACTTGCCTTTTTGATATATAATCTTTTGACAATGCCAGTGCAGTTGTTCAGCTCAGTGCCTCGATTACCTTTGGGATGCTACATAACTTTCACATTTAGGCTCTTTAGGCATAAGCTCTGGCATTCTGCCAAAGGTGTGTGCAAGCATCCAACAAGTCCACAACATCCTGAACTCTGACGTCCTGATGACGCGAAACGGTACACACCACTGCATCTGATGCATTCAGTGCCAGCTCCCGACGTCAAAAAATCCTTCATCAGATTCCAAGAGGCGTCAAAGGGAGTGATACTTTAAACTCCTACACACACACACACACACACACACACACACACACACACATACGCACACGCACACAGTTAAATACCTGTGACCTTAAACCCAGATTCCAAGATGTTTGTTTAAACCAGTTTGACTGTGACACAGCACTACAATAACATCATAGTAAACACAATAAGAGAGAACATCCACTCCCACAGCCAACGAGCAATAATATCCTAAATTATATGATAAGGAGTACTACAGTATTTCCCTTTCAAAATAAACATAGAATGTAAAGCTCTGTGCACACACCAGTCATAGCATTGCATATAGAGAATTTAGCATCTTTGATAGGTGATTACAATGAGGTCATTAACTGCTATTATCGTAAGCAAGAAAGCAAAATAAATCCTGGGCTGATTTCAGATCTGTAATCTGTGATGTCAGACAGGAAGAATTTCTTGAACTGACAGAAAGTTGCAGGCTGACTGTACCGACTCCCACAGTCTTTGCTTGAGTTTAAAAGGTATTTCCCATTAATTAAAATTCAACCTAGCTGTACTCAACCACAACATATCTCCATACACTATCACACAACAATGTGCAAGTCAGCAAGAGAAAATTCCCGAAATATCTCCACTGATGATGAACGGGACCCTGATTTTATAGACTCACGCAATGTGTTTGACAATTTATATCAATACAATGATTTCATTAAAAAAAATAATTGAGGGCGCCCGGGTAGCTCAGTCGGTAGAGCCGGGGAACCATGTACGGAGTTGCTGCAGTGGCCCGGGTTAGAATCCAACCTGTGGTCCTTTGCTGCGTGTCGTTCCCTCTCTCTACCCACCTTTCCTGTCTATTTACAGCTGTCACTATCTAATAAAGCCAATAAAAGGCCAAAAAAAGATAAAAAATCATAATTGAAATATGTCACATCACCAAAAACAGATCCAATAAAAATAATATTGGTCAACTTTATTTATATAGCAGTTTAAAACAAATGTCCTTTTTTAGCAAAAAATAAAACAAAACATTGTCTCTGGTTCACTAGTTATTCAATGATATTAGAGATTAGACTGCTAGAGTTTTTGAGATAAAAATTAAAGGACCGGATTTAGTGGCATCTAGCGACGTGTATCTGCAGATTGCTACTCCCTTGCTTCACTTGCTTGCCCTTTCCAAGCGGGAAGGAGAGACTACAGTGGCCAAGAAACACATGAAAAACACCAATGGCCAAATCTGTAACCAGTGTTTGGTTCGTCCATTCTGAGCTATTGTAGAAACATGGTGGACTTCATAGAAGAGGACCCATAGATAAAAATGACTCATTCTAAGGTAACAAAAACATGATTCTTATTTTCAGGTGATTATACACTAATGAACATACATATGAATATTATATTCCATTTTTGACAATAGAACCTCCACCATTTTTAAAAATATGTTACATTACAATAAAATGCCCGGAACACCCTAAGTAATTTTTTTAAATTTATGAACAGAAAACCCCTAAAAGAGAAATGGAGATATTAAACAATCCAAAAAAGGTTGGCTAAAATTAGATTATCACAATGAAAGAAAAAAATGAAAAAATACACCAGAGAATATAATAAAAAACAAATACAGAAGTTGTGAAATCATATAATGAATTAATAAAACCAAGCTAAGTGTTATGTCATCATTCTTTTTTCATGGTGACCAAGTTCTACTAGAATAGTTTTAATTTCATTTTTACCACTTTTTATTGTGAAATTTTTAAACTTTTTTTTAAAGGGACACTGTGTAGTGTTATAAGTATTTTATTAGCTAAAATCAATGTCTTCATTCATAAATGTGTCCTCATTGGTGTAAAATTACCTCTGCCAATGCTCTGACTTACCCTCGTAAGCGAAGAATTTCTCATCTATACATTGGACGGGTAAGTCCATGGAGGCTTCCATGTCTTTCCGCCATTTTAAAAAACTATAATCGCTGACAGGGACATAAAGCACTAGCCTACCTGTCTAGCTAATCCAAAACGCTTTTTCGTTCAGAGCCAGCGTCACGTGACTGAAACCAGTTATAACGGAGAAGGAGATCAGTGAGAGGCGCTTGTCACTGCCCCGGCACATTTGAAAGTCTGCACTGCACTTTAGTTCATAATGGAGGATCATACTTATGCCGAGCCACAGGAGAAGGAATCCTCGTCGCCAAAAACGCGAATTAAAAAGGCAATGTGACCGGCGAATTAAAAAAACGAGGGTAAACATCGGGGGAGCTTTTCACAGGTGGAAAGAGCTAATGAAAGAGAAAGACTTTCAAAGGGACGCTGAAGTTGCCTGCTTTCTCCTCGACAGGTAGGCTTCTTGGTACATAATGGCTACCGTAGTTGCAATACCCATTTGAAAATGCGAGGCACTAGAGAGCAGGATTCGTTTGAATGCAAAATACAATTTCACCGCTAGATGGGAGAAATTCCTACACAATGTCCCTTTAAAGAAAAGTCCACCAAGAAGTAAGTAAGAATAATAGAAGAGGTTGAACTGATTCGGCACCAATGAAACCACACAGGCTCCAATAAGGATCTTGACTATTTCTCTGGCGCCTCTCAGTGGAGCAATACCAACAGTGTACAAAACCTTGGAAGACAATGTAATTTATGGGCATTCTGTAACAAATTTTTAACAGTTTACAAGAACCAATTATTCACTTGAGAACTGACATTCACATGGATAGGAAAATTGTTGTTTTTCTAGAGCAATAAAAACAGACAAAACAGGAGAGTGATTTAGGTAATTTACATGACACTGACTCCTGTTAGAAATAGTCTAGTCAGTGTGATGAATTGAACAAATTATTAGGGGGGTGGAGTTTTTACCACCACTGTTACTAAAGGGATTGAAATATGGGTAGAGTCTCTCAGTGAATTTACAGCCAATAAAAGAGTAAATGAGAGCAGCAGCATCTACATCATAAAAGGAGACCAGACCCTCCTCATAATCCACAAACACCCCCACCTTCTGAAGCTTCGACTTCAGAGAGAGGTTAACTGATAATCCATCAACTTTATACCCTTTTTCTTTTGTCAAGCATACAGACCAACAGCCATTGTTTGGGGTCCGTTCAATGTTCCCTGTTCTGCTGATAGACTCTCTGACCACTCCTAAACTCCAGCAAGTTTTCCCTTTAACTTGAATTTCATAGTAAAACCTTCCTGAAGAGAACCCCTGCTTTCCTAGAACAGAATAACAGTAAAATCTCTTTGGACTGCCTGGAACATTCTGTCTTACATTCCCATGACTAACTTGCTTTCCATCATCAGATAGGATGAGATAGGGATTTGCTGTGTCAGGATCCAGGGTCACATCCACTGCATACAGCTGGACCTTCTTTAGCTCAACATGAACACACAGTCTCTCAGTCTCTTTCTGGAGTGTCTCCTCCAGCTGAGCAACAGCTTTCGTCACTGTCCCCTCACATGATGAGTGAACGCTGACGTCTGTCCAGTCCTTGATGGGTGGAACAGTGTTCAAGGATGAGAAGCTCTGGAGGAGCTGAAGGTGGTCTTCAGTGTGTGAGAGCTGCTCCATCTCAGTGCTTCTCTTCATCAGCTCAGATATTTCCTCTTCCAGCTCTGTGATGAAGCCTTCAGCCTGTTTCTCTGTTGTTTTCTGTTTCTCTTCAATAATCTCAATGAGCTGAGCCAGACTTCTCTCAACAGACTGGATCAGAGCAGTAAAGACCTGCACACTGTCTGCTGTCTCTCTGTCTGCATCTTCCTTGCTGAGCTTCACTGACCGTTTGATCTGCTCAATCTTCAGTCGTCTCTCCTGGATCATCTGCTGAACTTCAGCCTTTGTCTTATCCAGCTTGGCTTTCTTTCCTTCATATTCTTCTATCAGAGGAACAGTGTGATGATGTTTGTGATCTGACTCAGTGCAGAACTGACACACACATATCTGGTCATTCTTGCAGAACAGCTCCAGAGGTCTAACATGCTTCTTACACATCCTGCTTTCCAGGTTCTCCACAGGATCTATCAGCTTATGTCTTGTCATAGCTGTGACTTTCTGGTGAAGTTCCAGATGAGTCTCACAGTAGGAGGCCAGACATACCAGGCAGGACTTCAGGGCCTTCAGTTTGGTTTCAGTGCAGATGTCACACATAACATCTCCTGGTTTGGCATGTTGTTTTTCTGAGCTGCGACTGGTTTTCTTTTGAACTGACTTCCTGAACTGAGCAGCCATCTCAGATATAAAAGTGTTGACCCGCACCTCTGGTCTTCTGTCAAAAAGCTCTTTACACATGGGACACAGGCATTGGACATTAATATTCCAGTGTTCTGTGATGCAGGTCTTGCAGAAGTTGTGTCCACATGGTATGGTGACTGGATCAGTGAACACATCCAGACAGATGGAGCACAGAAACTGATCTTCAGAGAGAAGGCTGCTGGCTGCTGCCATGTCTAAGAACAAAAGTACAAGCGTGAAATTAAAACACAGAAATAAAAGACAATATTATAACATCAGCAAAAGTCATGTTGAAACAAGTAGTTATGTTGCTTGTCGCTGAAATTTTAAAGTTTTAAAATAAGACTGGGCAGTAATTCAGTATTATTGTACATTGTCTTGAAAGGTACTGCAGGTCACCTGTCAAACCGGAACAGACAGCCTGACTGACAAGAGATCTACAATATTAGTACCAACAGCTGAGAAGGAAATAGCCTACAATGTAATGGAGGACAACCAATGTACAATTGCTTCCCTGTTAATTCCCTTTGATTATTGTATAAAATAGATTGAATATCATCAACTGTACTCACTAGTTGTACTCAGGCTCCGTTGTACGGTTAATCTGAAGGCCTGAAGTTGTTTGCTGAGAGAGAGTTATTGGTCTCGACTCCAGCGTGGCTGTTGCTCTGAGTTACTTTCAGTTTCATTTACTGTAAAGCATGTGGCTTTGAAGCACTCCTCTCTTCCCAGTGCAGAGTCACCTCTTTAGGCAGGTCAGCTGGTAATCTTTTGTTGCAGTTTTGGAGGTGATCATGACACAAGATCAACTGATTTTAATTCACATTAACATCACAAAGTAAAACTATTGTCACCTGAAATGTGCCATTTTATATAACAGTCGTGATTAGGGATATGAGAGCAAACCAGATCCAGAATTGTGCAATTGCAAAAACACAAGCAAAACACAGAATAACAGATGATGAGTCATATATTAACAGCCTTAAAAAACAGTAAAATATCAGTTCAGCATATTTTTACTGCTATTGATTGTGGAACTGGAAATTAGTGATAGAGTATAGCATAGTGTGTCACTTAATGTAAATCATCCATTGAAAAAAAAAAAAACAGGTTACATTGTCATACAGTAAGGACATTTTTGTTATGTCCTTTGCAAGTTTAAGCATCTTAGTTAGACACATATATATGTAGAATAAAAACTTACTTGCAAATGTGTTAAAAATTGCTTGCTCAAAGCATAACTGACAATATTTGTTGCAGAATGGATGCTCACTGTGACATGAGTGGAAAGAAACGCTGAAAATTAATTTTAAAGAAGTTATGAGATGCACTTCTAAAAAATTCTTGCAAATGCAGAACATTTCTGTGTCAAACTGCTCATCAGATCCTTCAGACTAGAGAAGACTTTTAGTACTATAATGCCCTCTGGTGGCAACGTCAGAGACTCCCAGCTCATGCCAACAACGTCCAGTGGTGGAAGAGGTATGTAATCCTTTCAAAGTATAGCCATACCTGAAGGTAAAAATAATGCATTACATAATAATGTTATGTTATGAAACACATTGGATTATTATTTTTGATGCAATAACCTTAAGCAGCATTTTAAAGTTGCAGTATTTCAAGATAATTTGAACTGCTGTATAGTATATATTGTACTGCTGGGTATTCTCATCTATAACAATACAAGTATGCAAAATCTTGAACTGTGATTAATGCAGTGGAGTAAAAAGTACAATATTTGCTTCTGAAATATAGTGGAGTATAAGTACTAAGTTACAAAATACACAATATTTAAGTAAATGTACTGACTTAATCTCCAGCACTGACGGTATGAAAAACTTGCCAATGATATGACTTGATTGCCTCATCAGTGTGGAACAAGACATGCCTCATTGTGCTAAAATTGTTTATGATCTTTAGAATAAAAACATGTTTCAATTTTTTATATATACGGAAGCCCTAAAGGGCCATGCATTCATACATTTTATTTCCTCCGTTTTCCCGTGATAACGAGTTAATTTTCTCGAGATAACGAAACTTTGTTTTCCCGAGATAACGATATAATTAATTCGAGATCTCGAGATAATGACTGTGATATGATAACTGCGGTCAAGCCAGCCGTTACTCCGATCTCCGTGGTCAAATCAGCCGCACTTAAATTTACAGTGTATTCACTTCCGGTTTTCAAAATAAAGGTATTAAGAACAGTAAGCTATAATTCAAACCTACATTTAAAATAAAATGTTACAGTAAAGTGTTTCATGCGCCCATGATGAATAAAAAACATACTTAATATCAAGCATTTCTACTGCACCAATGTGAAGAAATGCCAAAAAAAAGTTCCATATTTGTATCTCCAAGTGGCATCTTTTACAAGTCAGGTGATCTGAGTGAGGGGCAAAAATACAATTAAGCATTTCCAGGACAACGAAGACTGTTTCCAGGATATCTTGGTCATTTTAATCAATTTCCAGGTGTTTTCATGATTTGAAAACTAGTCTTTAATTTTCCAGGTATTCCAGGTTTTCCAGGGTTTATGGGAACCCTGATAACCATGTTGGCAGCAGAATATAAAAAAAATATACCCAAACAAACAATAAACATGTTTGTGTTTTATCATTTTTATTTTTTTACGCCGTTTTTATGTCGTTACATGCCACTTTTACAAAAAAAAGACCACAAGGATGAGGACTGACTGGTGAGTGTGAAAAGCTCAACGCTATCTTGGGTAACAAGTTCGGCTGGGGTTGCTGGAGTGTAAACCTCCCCAAATCGAATAATGACAGAGGTGCTAACTAAACTCTGATACAGTAACACCCAGGAGTGGCTTCCACACAGTGGATGTGCTAGTGTTGAATGGGGCTTTTAATTACCAGTAACCCCTCAAAATAACATAGTACGCTAAAGGTCTTGAAGTACTGACCAACTGTAGATGGTAAGCTATGTTAACCAGCATGCTAGAGTTTTGCAGCTTATGTTAATGCAAACACACTGTCTAATCCATTCATTTTAGAAAGACAATAAAAGGTAACCAGGAGGACAAATCTTTGCTAAGGTGCTTAATTGCAGATTGAGAGGGAAATTTAGACCACATCAATTTCCTTACTGTGAAATGTCGATTTCAAATTTTACAATAAGGTATTCAGCCACATAAGATACAAATCATTTGCTTCCATTTAACAAAGCATAAGGCAATAGCCACACTAACGAGAATGACAGTGTGTACTTTAAAATGATTACTTTAATCAGTGTGATTGACAGGCGTGATGATCAGGGGGGTGGAGTTTTTGCCACCATCATTATAACATGGATTGAAATATGGGTAGAGTTTCTCAGTGAACTTACAGCCAGTAAAGGAGTACATAAGATCTGCAGCATCTACATCATAAAAGAAGACCAGACCCTCCTCATAATCCACATACACCCCTACCGTCTGAGGTTTTGAATTTAGAGAGAGTTGGATTGAAGGGCCAGCAAGAGCTTTATACTGATTTCCATTCATCAAGCATATAGTCCAGTGGCCGTTTGTGGGGGCCAATGTGAAGAAGTTCTTCCTGTTGATAGACTCTCTTGCCACCCCTAAAGTCCAGTCAGTCTTGTCTTTAACCTGGACTTCATAGTAAAATCTTCCTGAAGAGAAACTCTGCTTTCCTAACACACAACATGAGGAAAATCTCTTTGGGCTATCTGGAAGATTCTGTTTTAAATCACCATGATTTACTTGTTTGCCATCGTCTGACAGGATGAGATCTGGATTTGCTGTTTCAGAATCCAGAGTCACATCCACTGCAAACTGCTGGACCGTCTTAAGCTCAACATCAGCACACAGCTTCTTCACCTCTTTAGTGAGTGTCTCTTTCAGATGATCCAAATCTGTCCCCCGGGTCCCCTGACATGATAGGTGAACTTTGACCTCTGTCCAGTCCTTGATGTGTGGAGCAGGGTTCAAGGATGGGAAGCTCTGGAGTAGCTGGAGTGGGTCTTCAGTACGTGAGAGCTGCTCCACCTCAGTGCTTCTCTTCATCAGCTCAATGATTTCCTCTTCCAGCTCTATGATGAAGCCTTCAGCCTGTTTCTCTGTTGTTTTCTGCTTCTCTTCAATAATCTCAATGAGCTGAGCCAGACCTCTCTCGACAGACTGGATCAGAGCGGTGAAGACCTGCACACTGGCTGCTGTCACTTTCTTTGCATCTTCTTTGCTGAGCTTCACTGACTGTTTAATCTTCTCAATCTTCAGTCGTCTCTCCTGGATCATCTGCTGAACTTCAGCCTCTGCCTTGTTCAGCTCAGCCTTCTTTCCTTCATATTCTTCTATCAGAGGAACAGTGTGATGATGTTTGTGATCTGACTCAGTGCAGAATTGACACACACATATCTGGTCATTCTTGCAGAACAGCTCCAGAGGTCTATCATGCTTCTTACACATCCTGCCTTCCAGGTTCTTCACAGGATCTATCAGCTTATGTCTCTTCAGGCCTGGGATTCTCTGATGAGGCTCCAGATGAGTCTCACAGTAGGAGGCCAGACACACCAGACAGGACTTCAGGGCCTTCAGTTTGGTTTCAGTGCAGACGTCACAGACAACATCTCCTGGTTTGGCTCGTTGCTGCTCTGAGCTTCTGGTGATTTCCTTTACATGGGACTGTCTAAACTGAGCAGCCATCTCAGATATGAAAGTGTTGACATATAGCTCAGGTCTTCGGTGAAAACGTTTATTACACATGGGACACAGGCATTGGACATTAATATTCCAGTGTTCTGTGATGCAGGTCTTGCAGAAGTTGTGTCCACATGGTATGGTGACTGGATCAGTGAACACATCCAGACAGATGGAGCACAGAAACTGATCTTCAGAGAGAAGGCTGCTGGCTGCTGCCATGTCTAAGAACAAAAGTAAAAGTGTGAAATTAAAATACAGAAATGAAAGACAATATTATAACATCAGCAAAAGTCATGTTGAAACAAGTAGTTATCAGCTCATCTCTGAAATTTTTAAGTTTTAAAGTAAGACTGGGCAATAATTCAGTATTATTGTACATTGTCTTTAAAGGTACTGCAGGTCTCCTGTCAAACCGGAACAGACAACCTGATTGACAAGACCTACTGTGTACTGAAAGACAACCAATGTACAATGCCCTGACAGAAAAACTAGCATGTCAGACATTTTTGTCCATATATGAGTATTTCCTGTTAATCAGAGTTCATTAGAAAATATCTAGTTCTTTGATAAAAATGTAAAAACACAAGCCTGTGTACATAAAAAGGGGAAAGTTGACTACGAGTCACAAGGTGCATTTCAACAAGAAATGAAAAAAAAAAAGTTGTCACATGTAATCCTTGAGCGTTGAGAAAACCATGCTATCTGTAGCGTAAATAAATGTACCTTTGGATTCTGGGTCAGTTTTGGTTGATTTTGTTTGATTTCTCAGACCCAAAAATAAAACTGGTGGTCATAACATAAAACTATATGATCATCATTTCTATGTTAACTAACACTGAGGAGATTGTTTACAGAGTTTTTTTTTAATGTGAATACAGAATGGGAAACACTGTCCTATATCATTTATCATCTTACCAAAGACAATTCAGCCCTTAGAGATGATTTTTCCAGAGACATGGCTCTGTCAAGATATTGCCAGTATATTGTGTGAGCTGGACGGATTCTTCCTCATTTGTTTGGATCAAACCAAGGCATCCACAAAAAGCAGGGTGGCGGCATCAGTGTTTTTTATAATGATAAAAAGTGCACAGTAAGGTAGACACTTTGTTGTATAAATGTTATGGTCAGCAGATAAAAACCTCGCCTCTGGACAGTATCAGTCCTAAGGAGGAATGAAAGCCGTAACTAACATGACCCCTGACAGGAAAGGATCAGCGCTCTGGATGATCTTATCTTTTAAACAGCCAATTTGAATATATCAACACTGCAGGGAACTACAAATGCTATATACAACACTTGTGACTGAGCCAATGAAACCAATGAGCTAAAGGAGGATAAAAAGCCTCTGTTAGGGTCCAGACAGAGCAGTACAGGTACTCCCCTTCACACTATACACTACAGTAAGTGCATAGCCATCCAGGAAAACTATATGTGAGTTCTTAACTGTACTCAGCCTACTGCAGAAAGACAGCAGCTCATCAGGTTATCACTCTGAGATAGACAGATTTGTGCATCCGTGTGACTCCAGCCATCTGGTGTTGAAGTGAGGTAGACAGAGGAGGTGGCGTTGGATCCGAACACTGTGTTATGTATTCTCCCCCAACTAATGACATATTTTATGGATAATTCATATCATATTTAATGCATAACAATAACAGCACATATGAACTGAGAAACTGTACAATGAACCCAAACAGCGAACACAATAACTGCAGGAAGTTTGTTACATACTTTAATAGGCTTATTGCGACACATTTGTTCTTTTCGTCTCCCTCAAGCTCAACCATTGTTCTATTAGCTCTGTGGTTGTGTTAAATGTGAGGCTGTTGATCAGAGAGTGAAGACTCTGTGAATTCAGCTTGTGTTCAGATCTTCAAATTTTACATCTTAAATAATAATCTAAACTTAAGACAGTAGGCCTGTATCTCAGTGTTTTGTTCATTTCTGTGAGGAAACTAAATAAAATTGTTATTTTGAAAGTTTTCTAACACCCTGTAAAATCAAGATGGCCTCGCCCTGTGAAGCTCTGGTGACCCCCTGACTGGGAACCGCTGGTCTAAATAATTATATAAAAAAAAATGTGCAACAAGTTATGGAGATTTTTGTATAATGTAATATTCATGGTGAAACACACACTGGTTACTAAGCATCAATTTTATTTGGATTTTATAGGCTATGAAATGTTGCCTACAGTATACTGGAAACACATTTTAATATAATGTTATGTTATATATGATGATTTTATTCATGGTGCTCAGTAGGGCTTGCATTGGCAAGAATCTGGCATTACGATACGTATCAGTGATATGGTATCACGATACAGGGGTTATGATTCCATATACTGCGAAATATTACCATAAGCAAGGCCTTATATTGAGATTTTTTTCCCTTTTAACTTAATTTTAAGAAAATGGTGGTATTCCCTGTAACATCCAACATCACAGCCCTCAGTTTAGGTTTACAGCACTGATATCTGACAGTTGGGGGTTTAAACACAAAATCAATACAGTGTTTTAGAGAATCGATACAATATCATGATATTGTCTTACAGCCCTGGTGCTCAGTACAATATAGTATGGCACACTGATAGAGGGGGGGTATACTTAGCAGGGTTGACAGTTTTTGTTTTTCGGACCTCTTCCCGCTCATTCCTCAAAAACAACTTTCAACTTAGTCCAACTCATAAATAAATAAATAAATAAATAAATAAACGCGGAAACGGCCTAGCATTCACGCGAATCAGCTCTCAAACTCAAATACCGACTGACCCTTACTGCATACCCCCACTCCCGACCTGTACCCTGTCCTGTACCCGTCGGGGACCAACTAATGAAAAGTGAACAACGCCTTTCGTAAGATAGTGTGGGAAGGACCGCTCACAACGCAGCCGCGATACTAAGTCAAAGTCTGCTCGCTCCCCCCCTGTTACTTCCTCCGGGTCACCGTCGATCACAGTGAATGTTACTCACCTGCTGTGCTGTCAGATTCTGCTGGACTGTCGACCAAAGCCAAAAGTTGAAGTTGTGGTTTGTCTAAAGGCAGAAAGTTGTCTCTGCTGCAGCGCCGCTCTGAGTTACTTTCAGTTTGTTGTGACTGAGCCCAGTAAACAGTCCTCTCTCTGCTGACCCGCCTCTGGAGGCCGCTGCAGGTGAGCTTCTGTTACCTTCCGCAGGGTTGGAGGTGATAATAGTGACTACCACAACAGTAACTTTTGTTATACTTTAAACTGTAAAAACGTCACTTAGTATGGAAGCCCATTTCTGCCAATGTGACGGGGGAAAAAATAATTCTGTAAGTAATTCTAATGAGAAACTCTCTCACAGTAATTATTTAGTATCTCAACATAATGCGAAAGTTTTAAATAATACATGATCATCTCAAAGTCATCATTTTGAGATGCTAAGTCAATATTTTGAGAAAGTTTCTCATAATATTTCTAGCAGTATACCAATAATCAGTCTGATTGATGATAGTATTTATAAAGAAATTCACATTTAGGCAGTACAGAGTTGCTAATCAAGTGATATCTGGGTATCTGGTTCTGCCCCTTACTAGTATGGCGGTACGATGACTCAAAATCCTTACTGTCTTTTGGTGTTCATACAACTGGGAACATACAGATATTAATATGAGCTGAACAACATTGATGAAAGCCTACAAACAGACAGATGAGTTCCAACTGTGAAGTAACATTGCTTCAGATTTAGCATCTTGAGACCAGACGAGCTGCTGTTGACACAGGACATTTCTTTTACAATCAGCTCATCAGAGCCTTTAGAGTGGACTTTTAGGACCATCATGCTCTCTGGTGGCCATGTTAGGGGCTATCAGCTCATGGCAATAATGGCAGAGTAGGTTGCTGGTTTAAACTTGAACATTTTAACTCTTAGGTAAATGTACAGGCTTACTAACAGTAGGCTTCATTTTATTTCCTAGCCCAACAATGTCCAGGAATTGGAAATATTACTTTATTTATTTAGTAACAGTTATCATATAGTTTTTACAGTCATTATAGTATTATTAGTAATATATCCCTACTAGTAAAACAACACAGTTATGTATTCTGTTTTTAATGCCATATTTGAAGTATGAAAGTACCAGTTAAGATAAAAAATAATAAAAAAAGAGAGTTCTGGAAATGTATTTCAGTTTATCAAAGACACACATTTACTCTTGGTTAAAACAATTTACAAAGACACAAATATCGTCACTGTTCTTGGTCTGTTTCTCACTTTCACTTTGTACACATTCCTATTCCTATTGTACACAAGTTATATTCTCATATCGTTACAGTTATCTCTCACTTGTAGACAACAGTTGAGTCACAGTTTGTGTATTTAGCATACATAGTTGGCTCGACCAACAACATTTTATTTTCAAGAACATTCCTCAGTTTTAAATTCACTGTACATTTCCACCTTTGTTCAAGTAAGTCCTGAACCTCATATGCTTCATTCAGGTCCCCCTGTGGCTCAGACATGGTACGTTCCACAGACCTCAGCTGTCCCTCTCAGGTCGTACCAAGAGGAATCTTCCGGAGGGGTCTGGGATGAACCACCTCTCCCACAGATCCAAGTGAACAGCAGGGTAATTCCATGGTTTAAATGGGCCGTTCCAGTGCAGAAGACGCGCCTCCTGTAGGTAGCTCTCCGAGTAGCGGGCATCTGGACTCCAGCCTGGACATACACAAAAAACTACCTAAGTTGGTGCTACAATAGTTCAGGTTTCTTTATATTTTTAAGTAGAGTTAATGATTCCACTTGCCACTACTTGCCATTATCACTGTCAATTTATTCAAGTAATAAATGGCTGCTCTGGGCTAAAAGTTTGGGTTTGTGAATCATCACGCAATGCAGGAGTACACAACTGCAACGCAACAATACAGATCAGATTTTGGGGAGTTGTGCTTAATTCCTCCATTATCGAAAATTTTTATGATACATTTTCTCACTTTTACCAAACTGGCCCACTTTTAAGTCTTATATTAAAATACCAACAAATTCTCAGATTATGTACATGTACAACATTGTCTCACCTTCGTTTTACAAAAGGATGAATTGATCTCACTTTTTTTGTTTTTTAAAACAGTGGCCTAGTGGTCATCTCAGGTACAACTGCGCCATTTAGGAGCTTCTTCTGTATGTGACCAGGAGAGAGGATCTTACCCAGGTGTCTGACGTGCCACAGTGGGTCCAGTGTTGTGTATTTGTCATGAAACACTATTAGCATGGGTGGAGTTGCCACACCTCCCGCCATGGCACTGCTGTAGATGTTCTGCCTGGTGGAGAGAAAGAAGAGAGTTTCTAATAATCAGGCAATGGTTCTACTGCTCAACAACTATTAAAATATACTATATGAATATAAAAAATGATATTCATGTTACAGCTACATAAAGCGACAAAAACTATGAAGACAAACAGCCGACACACAACAAGAAGAGAGACAGAACAATATTCTTCATCTTATTTTGCATTAATTATGGAATGTTCTCCCTGTTTTATGCTCATTCTATCTATATTTTCATTATTATTTTCAAGTAGTGCTAACTAAAGGCTAGGTTGGAATGTTTTCCAAAAGAACATTTCTTTTGGTTATATTCGACAGACTTTGAAATCTATTATCAGACACAGTAAAAGCTACAGAGACCCAGTCCAGTGAAGAAGCTACAATGGGTTTCATGGTAAAAAAGTTGTATCAGAATATCCACAGAAACCATAGAAACTTCCCAAACCACTCCTGCACAATCCACTTCTCCACTGTACCTGTATTTATTAGAATATGTTGATCTGTTTTGGCTTAAAGCCAAAGTAAAACCATTTAAAATTTTGGTAAAAAATATTAATCACATTTTATTTAGTGACAGACAGACACATAGCCGAGGAGCATAAGCCCCTAGAGATTTTTGGATGAACAAAAATGTATAATTGTGTCTCATCAGCATAGCTGTTGAGATTAACATAGTGTTGTCAGATGAAACAGCCATGTTTATGTATGTGTTTATTTAAAAAGCAAGTGGGCAGGATATCCATACCACAAGGAGATATTTCTTTGACACATGATCTCTAAGATGAAGGTAAAAAAAAAAGCCTTGTTATCTGCAGTATGTTTGGAATTTTGTAACCTTGCATTATTGAACGGGTAAAGGAGAGACAGAGATTTTGTTTTCATAAAACACTCCTACAAAGTTTTTTTTGTCTTGTATGTATGCAAGACAATACATCATTGTTTTCATATAAGATATCAAAGGATATTAAAAGACAATACCCAGACTCTTAACCCTGCTGCAGTAAATGGACCTGTACTTGTATAGCACGTTTCTAGTCTTCCAACCACTCAAACACTACATGGCATATTTGCCCTTTCACACACATTCACTCAGTGATGGTAAAGCCCATCGAACAGAAACTAACTCATTCACACCGATGCACACCATCAGGAGCAATTCAGGGTATCTTGCTTAAGGATACTTCAACATGTGGCACCAGGAGCCGGGGATTGAACAAACAACCTTCCGGTTAGCGGACGACCCGCTCTGCCTCTGCACCACAGCCGCCCATGACTGGCAAGCAATACAGAAGTATCTGCTGCCTTGTAACCAGACTTCAGAGCAGCTATGAGAGTTTTTTCTATGACTTTTATTTACCCATCTACTGTATATAAAGCATAAAGGGAACTACAACTTAATTTTGTTTTACAACCCTGTGTTGTAAAATGATAAATAAATATTCCTTGTATCTTTGTATATAGTTCTACTCGCTAATTAAATTACTGTATAGCTTTTGTACTTCTGACCAAGTACTCAGAAAGCAATTCTTAAAACCAGCCAGTGTTTAAATTACATCTTTGAGCTGGACATATGGCAAAATGCATAATGAGGGTATCAGAAACTGCTTGTCACTGTGTGTGTACCTGAAATTCTCCTCCATCCATTTCTCCAGCTGTTTGGTGATCTTCTGTTTCTTCCATTCGCTGACATCTGCCACAAACACTCCAGGGTTGAAAGAGCAGTCTCTGGGATGGATGCCCAGATCTTTAACTTCCTGTTTCCTATAGTCCAGGAAGCCCATGTAGGTTGTCTATGGGACAAGCTCAGAGGACAGGACGCCATATTTCAATTAAAAGGTTTTTTAACAGGTTACCATCGAGAGCCGAGACTCTCCAGGAATATTACATTTATTTCTTTAATGGCCCAAAGAGAAGATCCTTTACATCAATTAATTAATGATCAATTGTATTGTATGTGAATGCACATCAAAGTTGAATGGTGCATATCGAATATATGTGTATATATATACTGCACACTTCTATTTACTGACACTAGCTACAGGCAAGTATTTACTGTGTTTCTTCCAGGTCTGATATTCAGACAAATTTCCTTTGCTTTGCCTCTTCACACTGGCAGGTTAATACACAAAGTGACATGATAAAAGATATAAAAATCCACCTGCATGCCGATGCTGCGCACCATCTCATGAGTGGAGGGCAGGTCACAGTCAGTGGCGAAAGCAGCAGCATGACCTGGCTTCAGTTTGATATTAAACAGATCCTTGATGTCACCTGAAAAGCATGAAAAGTCTTTAATACATACACTATAGCTGTTAATTAGTTTGCTTTAGTTTCACTGCACAGACATAACACAAAATCAATTAAAAACATAAAAACTAAATAATAAATACATAATGCTCCAAACTTAGTGTAAATTTTGATGTTGGAAAAACTAGCATGGCCATTTTCAAAGGGATTCCTTGACCTCAAGATAACAGAATAAAAAGGGGTTCTGTGGGTACCAATGAGTTTCCCCTTTGCAGACAGTTCCACTTTATGCTAATCCAATGCAGTTTTGATTTTTTTTGCATGTGGTGTTAATGTGTTATTTTCGCCTAGTGTATTGGCATATTTCTGCATACTTGAATCCCTAAAAAAATACTGGAGTTGCATAAATGCTTAAATGTATACTAAATGCCACCCCTACATAAGTCAGTGCCCCACTTGCACCACCCCAGTCAAAAAAGTCTGCGTACGCCACTGATTACATTTGGAAATGAAATAACAAAAATATTTTGTTGACTCTGCATAACTCTGCTACATACGTTAACTAAGATAA